TATATAATACATATATTTTTTTACAAATGAAATATAAATAAATTCATTTTTCATTTTGATACAAATTTGTAAAAAATTTCAAAAATTATTATAAATTATAATATAAGCACATATAATTACACGATCTAATATAATTAACATAATTAACATAATCTAGAACATGTAGTACAATTTAGATGATTATATACAAAAAAATCAATATGCAAGTTTTTAAATCATATGTTAACATTTAAGATTTAAATATTATGGGAATAATTTAGGCAGAAATCTTTGCAGCCCCATTTTATTGATTTCTCAAAATATTGTTAATTTATATACCCTAATTTTAGTTCTTAATCACTCTGATTTCAATTTAATCTGGTCACAAATCTTTTAATTATATGTAACTTAATTAACAATTATGGATTTTATTAGTTATGAGTAGTATAAACCATAATGAGATTTACTGACATTATAGAGCTACATTTGTTCCAGAGAAGATGTTAATTAATGAGATCTATATTCGTTAGTGATATAAAAAAGAAAGAATTTATTAAAAATAATTCAATCTAATTCATGATGTTAGAATTGCAAAGTCATTTAATTTAGGAATAATATAAATGTATAAAATAAAGTAACTTATTCTCTCCAATATATATATCTATGATAAATTTGTATAATGAAAATCATATCCTTAGGAAAAAGAAAATACCTGAAATGTTTATTCTAATCCCAAATATTGGATTAGGAACATATAATTTGATTGAAGAAGTTATTAATTTTATAACTAATAATGCTTAAAAAGATGAAACATATTAAATAATGATCATCCCTTATATGGTTACTTACGACCCCGTTCAAGTAATAAATCTCTTTCAGCACGTTCAGCAGCCAATTTTTCTTATTTTTCTCTTTCTTCTTTATCTTTTTTCTCTTTAGCCTTATATTAAATTGAATGATTACTAATTAGAGATTGGTTTGTTTGGTAGCAACACCCATATCAGTTTTCCTGGATGCAAAGTTATCTTATAGCATTCCTCTAAATCTATTGATTTCTAATGTTTATTAAGCATAAGCCATTTCCTCTGCTTTTTCTTATTCTTATCTTCTTTTCTTCTCATCAATTTATTCAAATATCCATTATTTTTATTGATCCTTGTTGAATTTATTACGAGAATCAAATTCTATCTATTAAGGTAAAGAATTACATAAATCTTCTCCATCAAATTCTTTTAGACCACTAATACCTTATCTTTATTGCCAATCTGGATGCTCTCTAAAAATTGTTTCTTTTGTTCGTTTCATATTTTAATTAATATAAAATATATATATCAATTTTCTTCTTCAAATTATTCCTCCATATATTCTAAAAGATATAATTAAAAATTACAAACCTTCTTCATTAATTTCTTTAGTTGGATGCAATTCTGAAACCAAACTAGCCTTGACATCGCTATTACTTCTATTAACTTTATTTACATAACTGGAAGTTGGCTACTATTAGGAATTTATCGACTACTTATAAATTCAAAATTACTCTTATCGAACTGGAAAATTGCCTTTATTTTCAACCTTCTCCCATTAATCATTTTCATCATCATTATCTTCCTCAAAGACTCCATCCACATTTATATTGTAATCATCCTCCTCTTCCAAATATTAATCTTGCTCTTCTATATGAGCATTGTTTAAATCTGGTTAATAATCATCATTTTCTTCTTCATTATTTTCATACTCACCATCTTATTCATCAAAATTATATGGATATTGCTCTTTTTCATATTTTTATTAAAGTTAGTTATCATTTTATTACTATTAATATTAATTTTCTTCTTCTTCCTCTTCTTCTTCATTCTTTTAGATTAAAATTAATTGTAATGGATCCGGATCAGAATGACTTCTTACAAGTCCTCCTTTTATAATATATTGTTAAACTGATTTTTATGGAATTCCATCATTAATTTAATTAATATCTACTTCATCAACTTTGTCCTCCTTAGTCTCCAATAATGCAATCATTTATTCTTACTTGCTTCTTAACTATTTATAAAAAAAGAACCCTTTATCTTATCTAGTTTTATTAATTCAATTTGAAATTACCCTAAACTATCATAATATTACTAAAGATCATCAACTCTTACATCTTCCTCATTTTCTAGCTTTTCCAATTCTCTTAGGTATTTCACAAATACCTCTCCTTTTAAAGTATTAAGACTTTTTGATTACAAAATGATCTAATCATAAAATAATAATTACTTTCGAAATTAAATAAGTTAGTTCTAATTCTCTCATCTACTTTTTTTAGAGTATTTTTTCAATTTAAGAGATAAAATCTTTTTTTACATATACATTTTTGCCCATAACTTTTTCTATTTAACTGAGAGATCCTTGAAATAATTTAGCTAAACATTATTCCAATACTCTCTTTTCAACTTAATCATAACAAGCCCAAAACCCAATTGTTTTAAAGAAGATTCCTCTTATCAATCCGTTATCTTAAGCAATAGATTCATTGGGAGTATATGGATACTTTTATTATGGAGATTCTATTAAAAATCTAGCAAAATTATTAGCATCGGTTTTTTTTAGGAAAAATGGATCATTTATTAACTTTTCTGTCAATTATCCTATTGTAGTTTATTAGGTTGATTAATTAAATAGTAAACTATCAATTTATTTCGAATGCAAGGATAACGCTATTAATTTATATTTAATCTCCTCTACGATATTACTTATCTCATCTTATTAAATTGGTTTTGTGATTTGTTCAAGTGGTTTAGCACTCTAAATGCGTTTTGTTACTTTATTATGTGTTTTAAGAGTTGGACTAAATTTAGGTTGTTACAATAGTTTCTTTTCTTTTTCATACTGTTCTTTCAATCTAGTAAGTTATGTTTTAAGTTCTATTAATTGCTTATCTTTTTATTTTAATTTATTCTACATGTTTTAATCAAGTTTTGTATATTCTCTATCAAGATCTTGATAAGCTTATATGAGCTATTATAATTGTGATTAAAGATTTTTATTGTCTGTTTAAAATGATTCTATATCTTATTGCATTTATTTAATAAGATTATCTCTTTGTGAAATCATATCCTATAATTTTTATTAATCATGCTCTTTTTATTAAGCATATAAATTTTATTGTATCAGTTCATCAATAACTTATTTTAATCGAATGGTTTCATCCTAGAGCATTTTCCGTTCAATTTCCATCTCTGTGAGTTTAGTATATTTAGCTGTCTTTTTAAGAGCTAGCATTTCTTATTCTCTTTGATCAAGATTTTATCGCAATTCTTTAATTTAAGCTTTAAAACTAAGAATCATTTAATTATCTGTGCTTGGTTTAGCATAAAATCGTTTCATATTTCCAGTAGTTTCTACTTCTTCAATAATTTTTTAACATTTTTATAAGTCTTTCTAGATGATAATTGCAATAGTACTTCTAAATTAGTGTTTCTAGTTCTTAGTTTAATATTCTCATCTTTAAATTAATTAATTAAAAGCTTAAGTTAGAGACTCTCTTCAAATAATTTTTCGCTTTCCTTGGGTCTTTATTTTGTGACATTCTATAAATTTGGTTACTTGTAAGGACTAATAATAAATAAAATATAGTACTTCTTATGAAAGGATACATTCTTATCACTTAAATGTGATACATTTTATTAAGCGCTGGATGGTCTAATTGATCTATGATTCATTATATTAATAATTATTATGGACTTTAACGATTTGATATTCCCTTGTCCAAAACCAAGTTATAATGAGACTTTGGGTGGTTTATATTACATTGATGAACAAATCTGTGGTTAATCTATCAAAAATAGCAATGAACTGAAAATATAAAATGGAACCTTAAGAGTGACAATTAGTTAGAACTAAACACATCACAAGGTTACAAAAAAAAGAAGGATAGTCACATTATTATAATTAGAGTAGAAGTTAAATAAAGGTATTATTGTATTTTTTCATGCCAATGCAGAAGATCTTGGAATGTGTAAATCTTTAGCATTTCTTCTAGGGACAGATTTGGATGTATAAAATTGGTCTCTGTAATTAGATGGCCTCAATTTCTATTGAATATCCAGGTTATGGCATTTATAAAGGAAATTGTAGTAGTGATATAATGATAAAAGATGGGTATTAGGTGATGGAACATATAATAAAAGTGTTGAAGGTTTAAGAAGAAAATATAATAATAATAGGAAGATCAATTGGATGTAGTATAGCAATAGAAATGAGTATACGTTATAAAAAGATTAGATCTCTTATTTTATTGAGTGCATTTACTTCAATTTGTGATGTTATAAAGGAGAACAGTTTCTTTTGGATATCAAAGTTAGTGAATGAAAGATTTAGGAATTTAGAAAAGATGCATAAAGTAGTTTGTCCAACACTTTTCATACATGGAAAGGATGATGATTTGGTTAATTATAAGCATTCAATAGAATTGATGAAGGAATGTTAAGGACTTGTTCATATCGAATTATTTGAAGGAATGAATCATAATTAGTTCTCAGTTGAATTACATATCATCTCTCCAATTAAATAATTTTTAATGAAAATAAAATGACAATAATTTATGTGATTATTAATTTAAATAACAACAGTAAATGGAATAACTATATTCAGTTAGTGAAACATTCACATCATATTTTGGAAACTTCTATGATCAAAGAATCTTAATCTCGATTTATTTGTTGTTTCCTATCATTTTGATATTCTTCTTTCTCAGTCTCAGGTAATTATTTATAATAATGTAGAGATTTAGAAAGACTTGAAAATTAGGAGAAATATGATATGACACATACTCATTATTAGCCAAATATTTATAATAATTTAGTATTTTAATGGACTAAGTAAGGAATTTAAAATTTGAAAAATGATGAACGATATATTTAATGGTAAATACAAAAAGAGAGAGAATTAGAATTAAGATCATAAGAATCTAGCAAATTATCATTTCGATAATAATAACAATGATATTTTTAGTATATATATATATATTCATTAATCATTATCACTTAATGCTCCTTCTTCTTCATCAATTTTAGTAAGCAATCCACTTATTTGATAGTCTAATAATTCTTTTAATTTTTCTTGCATAAACTCATCCAAATTATGTTCATGAGCAAATCTAGCAGCCAAATCACAAGATTAATCACCTTCATAAACAACAATTCTCTCAGTCTTATTTGGTCCTAGATTCACATCTACAAATAACAAAGGGATCCTTTCATCCTATTCTAATTAATATATAGAATTACTATCTTACAACTGCCAGATCTAACAACACTTTATTCTTCTTTAGGTTATGATTCATCCATATGAAAATTCTATGATTAATATGTATTCATTTATTAAGATTCTTAAGATTATAGACTTTTCTATCTTGATGATTATGTAGTTTATTTCAATTAATTCTAAGATTAGCTTCTACTTACCTTGGTCTATTAAATTGATTGCTACTATTAAACAGGTTTATTACTCTTATATCCTCTTTCTAACATTCCTTATACTTCTTCTCTTCTTTATCTAGCTTATTTCATCCTTTATACTGTTTTATCTATATCCTTATTTACAAAATGATTCTCTTATTTATATTATTAACTTCCTTTATTAATTAAACCAGGTTAGAAAGTGCATTCTTCTTATTATCTTTCATATTCTATTTCTTCAGTTGTTCTGTCTCTTTTTGATGTAGTTGGTTTAGCTAATGAATATAATTGTAAATATTTTTCTGACTTTTTTTATTAAGTTTTTGATTCATCAATATTTTATGTACTAAAATTATTATTATTTATTAATTATGGTTTAAATGGACATTTATCTAATTATTATTATAATATCTCTTATTTTTTCTATTCTTTGTGATATTCAACAGCTTTCTTTTATAATACTAATAAATCTGCATGTGTAATTTATCCATTTTCTGGTATGTTTACTTTAATCAAATTATTATCAATTAAATTAGCTGTTTATTCTAATACTTTTTCTCTAAACTAATTTGCCAATTACTTTGATTAAGGTAATATTTATGGTTTATAAGGATTTTGATCTTTCCAATTAGTTTTTTTCAATTCTTCACAACCTAATCTATTTCTATATAAAATATCAAATTGTTTTTATATTTTTTTTGTTTCTTCAAAAGTGAAAATGATATTACCATCTTTATCAATAGTTCCTAATTTTGGTTTATCATTAGGTTAATGAGCAGTTACTATTTTATGTTATTATGGTTAAATAGATTTTTAATAATTTGGAACTTCTTCATTTTAAGCTGATGGTAATTCTTTAATTTTAAAATCTGTAATTCCAATTAAAGTCAATAAAAATAAACACAAATTTCTTTTACTAATACCTCCTAATTAATCTCCTCTTAAAACAGTCCAAATTTCACATAATAATGCTCTTTCTTCAGATAAACGTAGATTTTCATATTCTACAGCTTTTTCATTACTTTCTTTTAATTATAATTAATTCAAAAATCCTAATCTTTATAATATTTCTCCTAATTTAAGATAATCAATTGAAAATGATACATTTGATGGTCTATCTTATCCTGTTTAATCAAATATCCAATCTATAACAGTTTCAAATTCTCTAATGAATTTTTAAGCAACTATTTTTTCACTATTATTTGATGTGAATTTAACATTTACAGTAACTACTTTAGTTGTATTTTTCTTATCTTGTAATTCCTTTTATTTTTATAATCTTCTTTAAGCATCTTAGTAAAGAATATCTTCTACCTTTTAATTACGAACTATATTTTAAGATTTCTATTAAATTAATGGTTTATAATCAATAGTAGATTCTGATTATTACATTAATGGTTCAGATGGTTTCTTTTAATTTAAATTGTATAATCTCTCATAAGTAGGTATTGTTTCATCTCTTTTTGAAAAGTTAAATTCATTTGTTTTTGGATGATATGGATGTTATAAATCACGTTCTAATTCATTTTATTTTATTTATTCTAATTTCTATTCCACTTTGATAACATGATTCTATTGATCAAATAAAAATTAATAGAGTGATCTTTTTTCTTAACCGTCGTTAAGTGTTTAAGGTGCAAATGAACAAGGACGTAATTCTTCTTATTCATAATATTCTTTTAACATTTAATTGTTCTACTTAAATATTTCAGCCTCTTAATTGAGTCTTTCATAAAGTATTTCATTATTCACTTAAGGTATCAATTTCTTTGAAATAATAGGTTTTGGTAAATTAGAATTTTATACCTTAAGTGGAGTATCATCAGGAAGATCATCTCCTTTTAAAATTGCAGGACATGTTGTCATATGTTATTGTTTTGAGTTCATTTTTAAAATATCAGTTAAGAAAATAAAAATATATATATATAATATAATGAATTAATCAGGTTTCGAAAAACCCCATGTATTATAGAGTATTAGTGATGCTGATAAGTTATAATTTTACAATAGCACACGATTATGGCATACTAAATTTAATTATTAGTTATTTGATACAGAGGAACTCAAAAGTGTCCATTTTGAAGATAATAAAAAATTTATTATGATACTTAAATCAATATAAAATTTCAATAAAGAAGTAAGAATTTATATATTTCTCTTATAGATTTAATAATCCTAAAAGTAAAGTAGATTTGTTCCAACTATGCCTACACGTTACAATTTTTATTAAAATATTGTAAATTTATTAAGAGAAGCTGCAATAGCTAAAGGAAGGGATGCTTAATTGATTTTCTTAGATAAGGTTTATGGTTTTTTTTTATAAAATAATCGAGAAGCAATGAAAACTTAAGATAAGGAAACAGGTAATACAAGTTCAAGTGAGGATTCAAGATTTATCATTTAGGATCAATCATAACCATTACCTAGTCAATAGATTAATGATTAACTCAAGGATTATAAGGATAAGAAAAGAACCATACATAAAAATTGTGATCCACCATAATTAAGGTAATTAGAGTTATTATTATTATTTTATAGATTAAAATTATATAAAAGAAGATAATTTAACTAAATGAATAATATGATACCTCAATTATAAATAAGAAGTACATTTCCTAAGGTTGTATCTATACCATAAAAAGAATAAGATGAGAATCTATAATAAAGTTAAGAATAAACAGAGGGTGAAATAGTAATAGATGGAGATTTATTAGGGAATGATGATGATGAAGAAAAGAAAAAAATAATTGTAAATATGGTACCTAAGATAAAAGTATTTTAAAAAGATGATGTTAATTTAGAATTTAAAGATTTAAATTAATAGTTTGAAATTAGATAAAATTATTAGTTATATTAACCATCAAATTAAGAAATTGAATTGAATTTATAAAATAGATGGATTTAATTTAGATAAAAAGAAGCAGCAGAAAAAAAAATGGATGAAGAAATAGTTAATTCTATGAATATTTGGTCAAAAAATAAAGCTAGAATAGAAAAAGAAATTGATAGAAGAATAGATTCATAATATTATGGAAGTAGATATGCTGAAATTGATAAAAGAAGATCTTAATCTGTTGGATTATCATATTAATCAGATCCAAAAGTAGTTAATCTAAAACCATTACCAACAATTATATAATCATAAAATAGATAATATGATTCTGTCATTGATGTTTCATTTTTAGAAAGTAAAGCATCTGCATAAAGAGTCTTAAATGCAAGAAGAGCATATAAAGATATATTAAATTTAAGTGCAAATGATGTTTAACCTGATGAATAACCATCTTCTTTATCAATTTATGCAAATAAACTTAGATCTAATTCACTTCATAATAAATTCTCTTAATTATTATAAAGAAATAGTCCAACAAGAATGAATGAATTAAATTTATAAGAAGTATTAGATATCAAAAATAGATTTGCCAAACATAAAATTCCCATTTAAATTAATTCTTTGTTATCTGGAATTATGGTACCTACTTATAAAGAAGACATTAATAATAAACTAATGGATATTGGTCAATCTATGTTATAAAACCCTTTCGAGGAAAAAAAAGGTAAAAAAAAGAAGAAGAAAAAGGAATGATGATCATTCATAATATTTAAATTTAATACTAATTTAGTCATATCCATTAGAAATTTTATTAAGATTTCATCAATTTATTTGAAAGATCTATATTAGAATTATTATATTCAATTAGAATAATAAAAATTCAATTTTTGTTAATTAATCAATCATTATAATATATTGTTTTTCTTAAATTAAATTCTTATTTAAAAGCTATTTAGAGTTATTCAACAAAAATATTAAATTAAATATAGGATTTAAAAAACTCTTGTGATTATATGATGTTAAATAAACAAAAGAATATTTAAAAATCAATATAATAATAATAGAGGATTAAATTAAATAAAAAACAATTATATTAATATAAATGACTTCTTACATGCAATCATCCTTTAGTATTCAAACTAAGGCTAACTTTGACTTTTTATAACAACCTAGTGATTCTGATTCAGATGATGAATCAAAACAAATGCTTAAAGGAACATAATAATAAAATTAACAGAGAGATATAAAAAAATAAAAGAAACTTATTGATATAGAATCACTTAAAAGTGAATTAGGAATTAGACCAATAATAGAGAATGTTAATCCTGAAAATTATTATCGTAGATATTCTAGAAAAAGTATTGGGACATTGACTAATATGATAATACCAACATCATCTATTTTGATTGAATAATTAAGTTAAATAAAAAAGATTAAGGAAATAAAAAAAGAAGTACCTCCTGAATTATTAGGACGTATTTATTCTGAATTTAGGTATAAGATAGAATTCAGTTAGATTTTAATCAGTTCCTTAATTGAATCCAGTTTATAGATAGGGAGATCAAAATAAACGATATTATATAATATTAGAAGGGAAAGTAGTAGTGATGAAACCAAAAGAGAAGATGGTTGGATCTAATAAATTGGATTACAAAGAGAATTAAGCATAAAAACCTGCTAAAAAGACTGAGTAAGATCCATATGGATTAAATAATGTATTTCCAGATTACATTATATTGAAAGTATTATTTTAAGGAGAGTATGTAAATAAAGAGCTATAAAAGTTCGTTTGGTGAGGCAGCTATTAAGTTAGACACAGCAAGATCATCGACTGTTTATGCATTAGAATAGACTCATTTAATATATTTGAATGAAATGGCATATTTAGAATTAATTAATCCTTATATGAGTGCTGCATTAGATAATAAAATAAATTATTTTTCAAAAAGTCCATTATTTTAAAATATTGAACCTTAAGAATTTATGGGTATAATTTTAGAATGTAAAATGATTACATATCATGCTGGTGAAATTATATTTAAAGAAGATGATAAACCTACTCATTTATATTTTATTATTGATGGTGAGATTGAATTATCTAAGAAAGTAGGAGAAAAAAGAATAATTTTATCATCATATGGATAATATTAAGGATTTGGAGAAGTTGAAATAATGTTAAAGATATCTAGATTTACATAAGCTAAAGTTATTACACCAAAATTACATGTTTATAGAATAAGAAAGAGATAATATTTTGATAATTTAGGTAATTATTAAATTTTTGAAACAATGAAAAAGAATTCAAATCTTATATTTAAACATTGGTAAAATAGATGTGAAGTTGCTTAATAAACTATTCATTAATAAGATGAAGTATATTTATTTTATTTATAATCAGATTTTTAAGGCTGCTCAAGATGTTTAATAAAATAAACCAAATTTTTAAGCTAAACATATACTTAATAAGAAATTAGTTGAATCTTAAGGATAAAAACTATAATAAGTGAAATTATTATAGAATATAACAGATGAAGATTTAAAGAGTATCAAAATAGTTAATACTCAAAATCAAAGTGTATTATAAAAAGTATATAGCAATACTTTGCAATAATATTAAGCTAGATTATTATCAAAACCTTAAGTTGTATAATAATCTCATGATGAAAATTGTATAAGAAATCCATTTACAATAAAAACATAAGCAGATTATTTAAGTGAAAATAGTACAGAGTTAAATTCAATAACAACTAGATCATCTTAACCTGTAATTAGAACTGAGAATGTTCATTAATCTTATGGATAATTACCTTCAATTCATATTCCATAAAATCTTCCATTATAAATTGTTTTTGATACTCTTAGCACACTTCCTAGAGTAAATAAGGATAATCTTGTTTTATCTTTAATGTATTAATAAGCTTTCAAATCAGAGAATCCAGAAAAAAAAGCAAAATAAATTTAAAAAGTAATTTAAGCATCTTATAGAAATGTTTAAAAATAATTTGAATCAAAAATGATACCTACAAATGAAATTAACAATATTAGTAATAATTAGTCTATTGATAAACGTAGATTGAAATTTAAATCTAGTGGATCTAATGATCTAAATTCAACTAGAAGCAATTATGTGAGTTTTGTTCAATAAAAATAATTATGTTCATAAATTAATTGAAAATAACTATTAAATATTTTCTTTGTTTTTTTCAAAATATATATATTCAATATACAAATATATGAAAAAGTATACTGAGTAAGATTTTGATGAGAAAGTAGAAAAAGCAGTTGATAAAGTATTATAAATTATATTGAAATAGTATTTACATAAGAAAGCACAATAATAATAATAAAAAGGATATTTTCATCATAATAATGAATGCATAATTGATAAATTGGTTGAAAAGGAAAAATTGATGACAAGCATAGCAAATATCTTTACAGAAGTAGCTAAGATTACTTGTAATGAATTGATTGAACCTATTAAATAATAAATTGATCAATTAGAGTCAGATTTAGCTAAGATTAAAGAACTAGTCATTAAAAGTTTTAATTAAGTATAATATAACATTTAAAATCAGTTTACTCCAGTAATGAGAAGTGTAGGAATATCAGAAAAAGTTATTGAAAATGGTAAATAGATAGAAACAGAAGAAATTGATAGAGTCAGAAAAAAATTACAAAATCATGACAATATGATTAGTTTATTAATGGATACATAGTAATATTATATTTATATATAATATTAGAGCTTAATTAAAATAAACATTATAGATATTTAATACTTCTGATGATATATAATCAAGTATAATAATTTAATTATCTATTAGAATTACTATCTCAATTTGATGACAAAATATATTAACTTAAATAAGAATTAAATGATACTAAAGTTAATGATACTGTAAGATAAGTTAAAGGTATTTAGATATAATTAATATATATATATAGAGAAATGTAATGCTTGTTGGGTTGTTCTTGGTGATGTTAATGAAAGAGTAGAAAAAATGTAGAAATATTTAGATGAATAAATTGAAAAGAAAAAATCAGGAGGTTTATTCTAAAAAGCTGCATCATATATTAAAGCATCATGAATATAATTGTGTATTTTAATTTAGTTAAAGTTATGAATAATATTATTATTTAAATACATATAAACTACTATTTATATATCAATCTATTTAATACAAATCAAATATACTATCAATCAATATGATAATATAAAGTTTAATTATATTGATTAATAACAATTCTTACAAAATAATAATTAAAGTAATTCTGAAATAGATTTAAAAAAGTAAATAAATAATTATAATAATAATTGGATCATTATTCTTATAATTTTGTTTATTAAATCTCTTAAACCTACATCTACATCTTACATAATAATTGAAGTAGTATTTAAACATTATATCTAAAAATATAATAGTTAAAATATGAGTGGCAATAGTTGAGAATACAGTGAGTATAAAATGTTGACATTTTTAGTTATAAAATCAGATAATGAGTTTATTATAGCTATAGCTAGAATTTAAAAACTAATTGTTAAGATCAATGATTCCAATCCAAAATACTAACAAATGATTTATTATAATAAATATCCAGTTGGTAATAAATTGATTATCATTCTAGATCTATTTGAATATATTTATTAATTACCCTTCTTTATATTAAAAATAACTACAATAATCAAAGAATATTAGTAGAGGAATTTCTATAATTTTTTATTGAAAAGGTTAAATAACAGTTTGTTTCCATTTTATAATTATATTAATTTAATTAATGTTTGATACAGATATACCTATGGAAGAGGAAATGAATGAAGTAGTAAGATAATTTAAACCAAAATTCAGATCGATTCACAAAACATAGATTGAAGATGATTTAAGTGAAAATACTGCAAGTTCATTACATTAAATTGAACTATTAAGAACTGTTATTACAAAAAATGTATTTAACATTGTAAGAATACAAACCATTGATGATAGATGGATTGGTATTTAATTGAGAGATCATTACGTAACTTGTGGATGGTTACTTTCTGAAGTTATAAGAAAATTAAGTTAATTAAGATTAAATTATGATCCAGGTGAGATTGTTGGATTTAAGACAAATAATATTCATTTGGATTATCATTTAAGTTGTTTGCATTATAATTTACCTAATTTGAATGGAGTTCTTCTTATTCCTTAAATTCGTTAACAATTAAAAGAACCAATTAATCTTGATTGGTTTGAAATAATTAAGAAATTAGCAGCTGGTGGTTTTTCAGTAGTTTATTTAGTAAAGAATAAAGAGAATGGATAATTTTATGCTATGAAAGTAATTGACAAACGATTAATGATTGAAAGAGACAAAGAAGAAATGGTATTTAATGAAAGATAAATCTTAACAAGATTAAATCATAAAAGAATAATCAATTTATATTGTGCATTCTAGTCAGTAATTCATATTTAATTATCAAAAGAAATCTAAATTATATTTTGTATTTGATTATTGTCCAGGTGGAGAACTATATTATCATTTAAGAAAATAAAAACGATTTAATGAAGAACAAGCTAAATGGTTATTTATTTAAATTTTGGATGGATTACAATATTTACATTCCTAGAACATTATCTATAGAGATTTAAAACCAGAAAATATTTTAATTGATTAAGATGGATATCCTAAAATAGCTGATTTTGGACTTAGTAAAATAGTTGACAATTAAGAATAATTAAATTATTCTTTTTGTGGATCCTTAGAATATATGGCACCTGAAATGATAGAATAAAAAGGACATAATTATACTTAAGATTATTATTAATTAGGTGTTATGCTTTATGAGATGATGGCAGGCATACCTCCATTTTATGCTAAGACAAGATAAGATATGATTAAGAATATAGTATCAAAATAGATAAATTATCCACATTTCTTTTCTAAAAATTTATAAGATTTAATAACAAAATTATGTAATAAAGATAAAACTAAAAGATTATGTGGAAAATGTAACTTAATTAAATATAATTAGAAATTTATTAACATCCTTGGTTATAAGGACCTATAAAAAAGATGCCAATAAAATATTAATGTGATCAATTCAATTTTGACAAATTGTTTATTAATCAAAAATGTTTAGATATTGAAACAGGACCTAGATGTATTGCTGAAGAGTTTAATTTATTGACCTTATCTTAATCAAGAGATATTAGGGATGAAGAAATGTGTCCCTTTGAAAAATTCTCTAGTTTTTATTACAAATAATGATGTTCTATATTAAATAATTATTATAATTTTCAATTAATATGTAAAATAATTAAAATTTGCATGTTCAATATATTTGAAACAATAAGTATTCAATAAATAATACTAATTGATCTAAAATGTAACAATTATTGATACCAATTGATTTATCGTAAGTAATTTTAAAATTAAGATTAAAGATATCTAAAATGCTTATATAGAAATGATAAAATATTATAAAGTTGTCTTATGAATATGATAAAGCAATATAATTTATTAATTGGTATGTAAAACATGGATTTGTATTGATAGATTTGGAATTATATATATGAGTAAGATAATTTTATAAATGAAGAAGAGATTAAGTATAAAATAAAAGAGAGAATTTCAAAAAAGATAGTTAAGAAATAAACAAATTATTTATATATATAAATGAATGCTTATATGAAAATTATGGATTGTAATATTTTATATAATAACTAGATAAAATATTTGTACATTTCATTAATCTTCTGTAAAGATCAATTATGTATTATTTACTGAAAAATCAAGTGAAACAATTATAAATAAAGTAAATACTTAGAAATATTTGGAAAAATTATAATTTGTTTATCAATATGATTAAAGTTTGCATTATCTTAGACNTTTTGGATGGATTACAATATTTACATTCCTAGAACATTATCTATAGAGATTTAAAACCAGAAAATATTTTAATTGATTAAGATGGATATCCTAAAATAGCTGATTTTGGACTTAGTAAAATAGTTGACAATTAAGAATAATTAAATTATTCTTTTTGTGGATCCTTAGAATATATGGCACCTGAAATGATAGAATAAAAAGGACATAATTATACTTAAGATTATTATTAATTAGGTGTTATGCTTTATGAGATGATGGCAGGCATACCTCCATTTTATGCTAAGACAAGATAAGATATGATTAAGAATATAGTATCAAAATAGATAAATTATCCACATTTCTTTTCTAAAAATTTATAAGATTTAATAACAAAATTATGTAATAAAGATAAAACTAAAAGATTATGTGGAAAATGTAACTTAATTAAATATAATTAGAAATTTATTAACATCCTTGGTTATAAGGACCTATAAAAAAGATGCCAATAAAATATTAATGTGATCAATTCAATTTTGACAAATTGTTTATTAATCAAAAATGTTTAGATATTGAAACAGGACCTAGATGTATTGCTGAAGAGTTTAATTTATTGACCTTATCTTAATCAAGAGATATTAGGGATGAAGAAATGTGTCCCTTTGAAAAATTCTCTAGTTTTTATTACAAATAATGATGTTCTATATTAAATAATTATTATAATTTTCAATTAATATGTAAAATAATTAAAATTTGCATGTTCAATATATTTGAAACAATAAGTATTCAATAAATAATACTAATTGATCTAAAATGTAACAATTATTGATACCAATTGATTTATCGTAAGTAATTTTAAAATTAAGATTAAAGATATCTAAAATGCTTATATAGAAATGATAAAATATTATAAAGTTGTCTTATGAATATGATAAAGCAATATAATTTATTAATTGGTATGTAAAACATGGATTTGTATTGATAGATTTGGAATTATATATATGAGTAAGATAATTTTATAAATGAAGAAGAGATTAAGTATAAAATAAAAGAGAGAATTTCAAAAAAGATAGTTAAGAAATAAACAAATTATTTATATATATAAATGAATGCTTATATGAAAATTATGGATTGTAATATTTTATATAATAACTAGATAAAATATTTGTACATTTCATTAATCTTCTGTAAAGATCAATTATGTATTATTTACTGAAAAATCAAGTGAAACAATTATAAATAAAGTAAATACTTAGAAATATTTGGAAAAATTATAATTTGTTTATCAATATGATTAAAGTTTGCATTATCTTAGACAACTCTAATTCTTGAATCTTAATAGATAGATCTATATGGATAGAAGAATTAATAGTAAGATTAAATAGAATGACAATTCTAGATTGGATATGAAAAGTTCTACATTATTAAACCATTTAATAAATGAAGATAGATTAAGGAGATTTGATTATAATTAAGAAAATTATATATAATAGTAAAGGAGAAGATCAAGAACAGATAGATATAAGTTATAAGAATGATGTTAGTGTAATTCTAGAATAAATTTGAAATTATTTATAGTCAGATTTATATATATTAATTAATGGGGGTGGATGCAAATTTAATCGAGAATGTTCGTGAGAATGGATTTTGATGTATCTTAAGGAAGAAGGGAACTTTCGAAAATATTTTAATATTGGTTTTAGAAGATGATAATATAAATATAGTATAATTAATGTCAAAATCACGTAGTTAGTCTTCCATACCTGCTTTTTTATAGAAAACATATGATATTTTAGAAGTATAAGTGATTAATAATACTAAGAATTCTTAACTTTTAGACGTTGTTGGTTGGAATGAAGATGGTTCAGGTTTCTTAGTGAAGAATGTAATAGCTTTTCAGGATCAAGTATTACCTATGTATTTTAAACACAGAAATTTTGCTTCTTTTGTTAGATAGGTAAATATTAAAAAATTATAGAGATTAGATGAATATGTATGGATTTCATAAATCAAGAAGTGATTAAAAGGAAAATGAATTTATACATCCTCATTTTAAGAAGGATCAAAGGTAAATTTTATTATTAATAATAGAAACCTATTAAAAAAAATAAAGAGAAAATCAGGGGAACATGGTGATGATCAATTTACTATAATGGAATTGAAACCTCATCGTAATCAAAATATATCAGATGTAAAAATATAATAGATGTAATAAATTTAGAAATAAATTCAACAGATAATGACTAAATAATAAGAGTTGGAGAAGGTGTGTAAAATTTTGATTGAATAAAATAATAAAATATTACAATGCAATTAGTAATTAAGAAATCAATTAGTTCAAGAAAAGTAATTATTGTTATTCTAAATTATATTAGATTTAATGGAAATAAAAAATTATAGAAATTGAAGGATTACTTTATTTGTTAATAATAAATATAGGGTGATTGTTTATAAGTAATAATATAGTATAATAATAATTAAGAAAAGATCACTTGAAGATTTAATTTCATCAGATAATGAAGAATTAATACTTCCTAATATAAAAAAGATTAAAGGGGAGGATTCTGATAGTACATTTGATAAAATGGAATAATTATATGGACAACCACCTTTAATGTTAACTACCACTTTAGTTGAGAATGATGGTATGATTCAATTATTAGATGATCATCAATTCAACGATATCTACTTTGATTGAGCTATAATTAAAATGCATTTATGTTAAAAAACTTATATTTTTTTTAATTATGAATTAATAGTTGGGATCTTATGTTAAATTTTTCCATATTATTAGAGAATTGGGAGACAGCAACTAAATTGATATTAAATAGAAATAAATACTTAAAGTCAATTTTACAACCAAAGAGAAAAAATTAATGAATATACTCAATGATTTAAGTAATAATAATCTTATGATATTTAGATGATGAAGATGAAGAAGAAATCAAATATAGTCTTTTAAATTATTTAAATGAATTACCAAAAGTTAAATAAGAGATATAAAGACAAATGAAGAGAACTAGATCTAGTATTACAGATGTTGATCTTATTAAAGGTGTTTAATATGATGAACTTAAATTTACAGATACAGTAGCAGATATGGAAAAAGCTTTAAAATTAATCACTCATTTTCATACTAAATTAAAGGATGGATAAACTATAGATCCTAAAATCAATGAAATTTATGAAAATATTCGTACTCTTTTCATTTAGACTTCTCCCTAAAATATACATTCTCCTACACTTATAGGTAGAGGTTAATCAATCAATTCAGATATTAATTACTAAATTGAATGTGAACTTAGTGAAGCATATAAGGAAGTTAAATGTTAATTTGCAAATTATATGAAAAGTCATTTATTACTTATGGATGAAACTGTCTCTTATAATACAATTTTTAGTTTACTTAAAGAATTAAGCAAGAATTTATTAAATTGTGATAATTTTAGTTTCTTTGTCATTAATACAAATAGTGATATAGAATTATATCAATCTAAAACTGATAATATTGAATAAATACCAATGGATTAATTTATTTAAGATGAATTAAATACAATACCTGAAAATAAAATATTTAGATTTTCTAAGAATTCATCTTTTTGTTCAAAATTAATGTCAATAAATTATCTATCTTCTTATGGTTTATATGCAAATAATGTTGTGTTTATCTATCATTCAAAATAGAATAAATAACTTGAATCTTAAGATATTTTAAAGTATCTCACTTTTATAACTTTAGAATTGCTAATGAATACTAATTAATAGATGAAATCAAGAATCTATCCATGTTCCTATTATAAACTATTTAAAATGCTAAAGTTTAATTCTTTAGTCCATTATCAATAGCTGATATGATTCTAGATCTTGGAATCTCATTCGTAAGAGCTTCTAAGTTTGTTCTAATTGAAAAAATGTATAATATTGTTAGCTAAGCATATAAAATTGATAAGTAATAATAATTTAATGATAGATTATAAACAGATTAATAAGAAATTTAAGTTTGGGATACTGAAAGTGTTTTCATAGTATTTAAAGATTAAACTGTTACTGTATGTTTTAGAATCTATTAAATGAATCTTATAAGACAAAGTGATTAAAGATTGTATTCTGAAATTAAACATTTCTATGAGAAATATCTTAGATTTATACGTGAATGCTTTGATAAAAGTGCTTTTTATAAATTCTTTTTAAGATCAAATGATTCACTTATTTTTGAATTCGATAAAAGTGGTCATTTATTATTTCTATCTAGACCTATTCCAAAATAAATTAAATCAAATTTTAATATTTAATTTAATTCACTATTAATTCATTCTAATTAATTATCATATAATAAGATATTTGATTAAAATGTTGTATCTAATATTGAAAATTATTTATAAGATCATAAATGGAAAATGATGAAAGATAATGATAAATAATATGAAATATTTCTTAAAATTGAAGAAAAAACTTATAAAGGATTTGCTGTGATTTTTACAGAAAATATAAAAGGATGGGTTAAAGAATAATTTAAATAATTAGAATCTGGTAATCAATTAGATTCCAAAATTAAAGCAAAAATCAGAAAATAACTTATTTAACATGAAACTATTAATTTCGTTAATAAATTAGAAGAAAATAATCCAGAAGTAAAAGATTCTGTTGCTTCTTTATATATGCCATTATAATAATTAATATTAAAAAAATCTAAATCAATAAGGGATATGTAAAATGCATAACATGAACCTAAAATGAGAAAACCAGAAATTTAATAAAAATCAAAATTTCTTACTATTTAAGAATTAGACTTACATGAATTTTGTTTAGATAATTAAGATGATTAAATTGATACATTCGACTTTAACATTATGGATTTAACTTCATAAATATAAAAACACAGAGTTGTATGGGCAATTCTTAAAAAAAATGGACATTTAGATGATTATTAAATACCATATGAAAATTTATAAAGTTTTATTAAAGAAATGGAATATAATTATAATGTAAATAATAATCCATATCATAATTATGATCATGGTATTACAGTAATGCAAACTGCTCATTATTTTTGTATGGAATTAGCTAAAACTTCGAAATCTAATATAATAGATAATTTTAATAGATTTATATTGATGATTAGTAGTTTTGGACATGATGTTGGACACACTGGTAAAACTAATGTTTTTGAAATCAATAGTTTGAGTGATTTAGCAATTAAATATCATGATAAAAGTGTACTTGAATAACATCATGCTGCATTAACAATATAAATATTAAAAAATCCATAAAGTAATATACTTGTAAGTCTCAGTTAATAAGAATTTAGAAATTTTAGAAAAGGACTTATTGCAAATATATTAAGTACTGATATGTCTGAACATTTTACATTATTAAAAGATTTTGAAAATAGACCAAAAGATTTTAATGATTGTAAAATATTGAGTGGATATATTATGCATACAAGTGATTTTGGAGGAGCAGGTAAAAAAACTAATTTATCTATTAAATGGTCATAAAGAGTAAATTAAGAATTTAGTATTTAATATAAATTAGAAGGTGAATTGGGATATCCATAATAACCATATATGAAGGATTTACATATTGTAATTATTATTTTATATTTTTAGCCACATATCTTGGCTAAATCAGAAATAGGTTTTCTTAAAGTTATTGTTAGACCATGTTATGCTTTATTAAGTGAATTTTTAGAGGATAGACTTAAACATTGTATTGGTAATATTGATGATACTATTCAATATTGGGAGAAAATAGTGAAAAAAGGTGAAGAATAACAATAATGAAAACTATATTTATTTAATTTATATGTTGTGTGAGAATTTAAAAATGTCTGAGAATTTTGTAGAGAAATACCCAGATAGAGTGTAAATCTTAATAATAACTAGTCCTATATTATTATAGATTAGTCAAAGATCTAGACTTAGATTTTAAGACGGAACATCTATTAAAAAATATTTAGTAAGCAAATCTGATCATTTTTATCATTTTCTTTAAGTAATTCGAGAAACCCTTCATTTATAAAAATAAGAAAGTCTCTATTTATTCATTAATAATTCTGGTTTAATCAAAGCAGGTAAAAATTTATATTTCATTTTAGAAAGTTAAGTTGATGAAATTTACTAGAAATTTAAAAGTTCTGATGGCTTTCTTAGAATTAATTTAACAGAGTATCCTTCTTTTGGAAATTTTTGATACTTTAAAATTCATACTTTTTATTTTCAATAAAGCAAAATTCTATAACATTTTTTTTAAATTATATATCTATATTAATCTATATAAATGTTAATTCATTATATTTTGTTAATTTTATGATTATATAATATATAAAATATATTTTTGTTTAATCTATTCAAATCAATATTTATTTATAATAGTAATTTATCTTTTGCAACAATAAAATTTAATAATAAATTATAAATTGAAAATATTCTGTTAAAATTCAATTAAGACTAAAAGAAAAAATGATAATTATTAGATTTTATTATATAATAATTATTAGATTATATTATATAATAATTAAAAATGAATTATTTCTTTTAAAAACTAAATAATGAATTATAATGAATTAAATTCTGATGATATAGATCAATTATTTAAAGGAATTCAATCTAAATTAGAAGGTAAGGAAGATTTATTGAATTCATTGATCCCAAAGTTTTAAGAAAAGTACAAGTTTTTCTAAATTTAAGAATCTAATAAAAAGTATAAATCCTATAATTATATTTAGATTATTAGGAAGATTCTAATTAAGACTTTCTGAATTAATGGAAAAATGTAAGAACTAAAATTAATTCAATTATTTAGATGCCATTCAATAGAAATTGATAACATTTAATTTCATTAAAATTCTTGATTAAATACATAATACAGGAAATGAAAATAAAATAAAGGACATAGTTCCATAATTCAAATAATAAACAAATTGGTAATAATATAATAAAATTAATAAATCTTTATTCGAATTTTATGAAGTACAATTTTGGAAATTATATGGCATATTGTTGTTGAATGAGTATCATTATATTATTATAAAAGAGAAAACATAGAAAACATGATACTATATTATTAATCAAAATAAGATAATGTTGAAAGATTATTAAAGATAAGTTTAGAAAGAAATAAGTAATTTTCTTATATAAAATAATAAAAATATCCATAATTGGCTACTATAGAATATAAAGCTTAATAAATGAATTTATCTTAAATGAATTGCACTATGGAGACTTCTTATTAAAATAAAAATATTAGAATGTTTGGTATATTAACTTAGAATCAAAAATTCAATAGATTTAATTCTACAAGTCCAAAAAAGTATTTAAGAACTAATTTCATTAAAAAAGGTTGGAGTCTTGATAATAATGAAATATAAGTTCCTGATTCTATAGATTAAAAAACAAGAAATTTTTCCTAAAATACTTCAAATAGTATTATATTCTCAAATTAAACTGTAAGAGAAAGAACTTAAAATCAATCTTTTTCATAAAAAAATAACTTAAATGGTTAATATTCGACTAACTAAACTCCTTATAATTAAAAAAAAATAAGTTCGGTTGATATTAATTGTAATTATAATATCAATTATTAGAATCATTTAATTAATTTGCTACATCTACTTAATCAGTTTCTCCAAAAAGATAATTTAAAAAACCAAAGATTAATTAGAATTTGAATTAGTCATTTTATAAATAATTGTTTCCATC